GACAAGGAAGGGCAGGGAAGGGCAGGGAGGGGTAGGGAAGGGCAGGGATGAGTAGCGACAGGCAAGGGCAGGCAGGGATGGGCAGGGATGGACAGGGACAAGCAAGGGCAGGCAGGGATGGGTGGGGATGGGCGGGGATGGGCAAGGCAGGCAGGGATGAGTAGGGATGGGCAAGAGCAGGCAGGGACAAGCGGGGATGGGCAGGGATGGGTAAGGATGGACAAGGGCAGGGATGGAGAGGCCGCGTCCTGGTGCTCACCGCGGGAGCAATTAACAAAAACCATCATTAACATGCACACACCCCCCAAGAAAATCCCCACGTGAAATAAAATAATGCCAGAAGAGTGCAGGGTTTGGGCCCGGCCCTCGCGCCATGCCCTGCGGCCGAGGCTTCCCCTGGGGCAGGGGTCCCGGGTGGGGTCCCGGGTGGGGTCCCGGGGGGTTCGTGGATGCCCAGCGCTGAGGAGAACGCGTTAAAGGATGGGCACCTGGGTGTATGTATGAAAAGAAGGCAAAGGAGCTTTTTGCCGGGCGTTGGGTTCCTCTGACCTGTCGAGTTTCCCCGGGCTCTGCCTGTTCCGCGTCCGGGGGCTGAGATAACGAGAGACCCAAAAATAATATTTGTTTTGGCGGGACTGCATTTAGAATGAAGTAGATGCCCTTGACCACGAGAGAAACTGAATTTTGCTTTTTTTTCTCCTCCTCTCGTGCAGCCGGCGCGGTTGGGGTTTGAGGAATTCACCGCCTGGTCAGGGCGAGGAAGATTTGGCCCGCGACGTTTCCGTTGGGTTTTTCGCAGCGGTGCTCAAGCGCTGGGTGCATGGTGAGCGGAGCGGGGTGTTCACTGCCGGGCGCTGGGACAGCGCTGCCGCCTTCCAAAGGATAGGAAATTATGGACGAGAAACAGGAATTTTTGGATTTCTGTTAACACCACTTCTGGAAATATGACCGATTATTGCATTTAATCGTTTTTCCCAATGTTTTACCAAATCTTCAAGTTATGGTATGCGTCGCACCCAGGTCAAAGCGATACGCTTGGTAGGAAAATGTTTATTTCTTTGTTGTGAAAGGTGGTGCTGAAGACCCGCTGCTTTAGAGAAAGTGCAAGAAAAGAATAAACCTATAGAAAGATTGCTTAAAAACTTAAAGCGCAGTAATCCGAGGGGAGTCCTGTAAGATTTATGTACTATTCCAAGAGTCATTTCTCAGTAAGAATCTTATAGGAATGTAAAAATCCTCAAAGAATTGCATTTACAGATTTAATTGTAATTCTTTTTATATTCTTACAGAAATGGAATAGAAATACCGTTCAAAGGCTTCTCCGCAGAGCTCCCCTGCCCTTGCCGAGTGGCTGTACCCTCGGCTCCGCGCTGCTGCGGCTGGCTTTAAAAAAAACGAGGGAAAATTTCCCTGCCGGTGCCCTCCCTGGCCGTTAAAGCAGACGGGAGATTCGGGTGACATCGACCTGCAAATGCAGCTTGTCACAGGGCTGCGTGCTAGTTCTGTTTCGAATCGCGTGCATAGAGTGTGAGTAACGAATAAATACACTTAATTTGTGCCTTGGAAAGGGAGCTTTTTCCCCAGTTTTCTCTCTTTTCTTTTATTTTCTTTTTTTTCCCTTCCCTCCCCCCCAGCAGACCTGCCCCAGCAAAACCTTTCATCTCTCCCTGTCCTCAAGGGCGGGGAGCCGGCAGCGCCTTGGGCGGATGGAAGGACGTTGTTAACAAGCCTTTAACGTCTCTCATTAATGGCTGGGTTAAGTGGGTGGGGGTTTTTTTAATTGAAAAAAAGCCAGAAGACAAAAATTCCACCTGGGCAGTAATTAAGATCGATCCCATACAGTCCGTTTAAAATTTTTTAAAACCTCTTTAAGTGTCTTATTCAGTTATTTTAAACAGAGCTTTTCATTTGTCGCGGTGAGCAGTCCTTGAGCGCAGTGGAGAGCTGCGAGGAGCCTGGGGGACGACTCCCGGGCTCTGCCCCGCACCCACTCCTCATCTCACCTGTGGAAAAGCAGGCACCGGTCCATCCCCCCGACCCCGGCCGTGGGTGCTGGGACCCCACCGATCCAGACCCGTGCTGGCGTTACCCAGGGTGCGTTATCTGAGGTGGCATTGCTCTGCTCGTGCTGAAACTGCTGCTGCAAGGCGCGAGTGGGTACCGCGGGGCTGCGAATCACGAGTGGGTAACGCGGGGCGGAGCATCGCGGGGGGGGCACA